TTTTTTTCATTTGGTTATTGCACGGGATTGTACGTCAGACACCGTGAAATAATATAGTTATTGTATGGGTATATGGCCTTCGGCCACGGTTATTCACTACATACCCATACAATAACAAGTATGAACTAGTCCTATAATTTTGTGATCTCAAGGTCTTCTAATTGGCTAATTTACGTCGATCCAAATGTGATTATAATATTGGAACGAATTCATGTAATTATAATTAAAATACAATACTCGTTCACTATTGTTCTATACATAAATACTCGTACACTATTGTTCTATACATTAAACTGCTAGGATAAGACCGGTTTCAGACAGGGGCTATAAACTAGTTCTTAACTAGTTATAAACCAGACTTTTTAAGAACTTAACCAGGACTGGCCTGGACCGGACTTTTAACTTCCAAGGCTGGTAATTCTTAAAATTGTCATTTGTTATAGATACGGAGTTGGTGTAGAAGAAAATTCTGACGAATACCGCAATTGGAATAAAAAGTTAGGCTGATTTCAGGTAATGTGCGAATGCTTTTGTTTATCTATTTCATTATCCATTTCAACCTAAATAATAACAATAACCAACTTGATATTTCTGATGCCTTATTCTTATCTATCTCAACACCAATCCCATATTCGTAACCAAAATATTTCATTTTTTTATTGTCTTTTGTTGTATCCAACATATTAGGCACAAGAAATAATATATTACATTAAAAGAAATGATTTCATCGAAGTGATGAATGTATGTATCACTTTGTCTAAATAATATATCCTAAAAATTGTTTCATGTAATACATATACGAATTCATCAAAACTTGAGAGAATGTTGTGCCACTTGCCTGAAATTGCTACTTTGGGGCTTGAAGCTGCACCTGACCGAAATTTAGAATTTAAAATTTGATATGCATTAGATCTAAAATGGCAACATTTTTTTTAAAAACAGAAATTTCTTTCATAAATTCATACGTAGAATTTATTTAAAAAAACTTTTAAAACTTACTACATTAGGTAAGCTATCTATGGTTATCGTTGTCGTTATCATTTAAATTTCAAATTTATGATTTATCGTTACGCAACGGACTGTGTAGCTGCAAATTTTTTAAGATCACAAATTAAAGTAATTAAAGTGAAGAAATAACTCATAAATTGGCCATGGTAAATTTTAACTTTAATAATCACTAATTGTTTATCAAAATTTATTGTTTACAATATATTGAGATCGTTTTAGGTTAATGATAATTTTTTGCGCCATGGCACATTTAGATTTTATTGGTGAAAAAAAAATCATGTGAAGATGAAAAATTGGTAGACAAGGTATGTATGTCGTACGTATGTACATATTTGACTAATAGTCTATACTTTTTAGGAACAATGTTTCACTGAGTTATATATAAGTTTCTACGTAAGCTTAAATACATGAAAAAACTTTAGGCAGAGTTAATAATATTTAATAAAATATTAGTAATAACTTAAAGCACAATGTTATACTATATAGTTTTATAATTAGTTTTCGAGCAAGCCTGAAATATTTCCATTCTACACTTGAAAAATACTTTAAAAAAAAAAGTACAATATTGTATGAGTTAACCCAAAACTATTTCGGCAGTCTAGCCCGAAATGCTTTAACCACTCATAAGGAATTGTCTATAGAGATGGATATCACTGATTGAGATCTCGAGTTTCCATGAATTACCGGATTTGTAAGTTTTCCCATTGAAATATGCATTGTTTGCATATAAATTTTGATTTAAAGTCTATTCTTACTATTACTATTAGCAACATTCCGAAGATCAAAAAATCCCCACTCCGGTGTGAGCGATCTGACCTGTTTTTAATAATAAAGATGCTTCTAATTGAAGTTGTGGAAATTTCTAGAGGAATCTCTTGCAATTTAGTTGATCATTTAGTAAATTGTACTACTAATTAGTTTTATTATAAAGTGGTCATCTATACTACAAAAATCCAAATTAATATCTTATTATCTTAAAAATTTTGTCTCCAATAATTATGTTTAATAATTATAAATTAAAACAAAGCTCCTGAAAACTATAAACATTAATGAATTGTTTCACCAATTATCGTTAGTATGATTCTTGTTTATAACGATAACAATACGTATAAAGATGAATTTAACCAACCATATCATTCTGACTTACATAATTAAACTAGTTGCACGAATTATCTTGTTATGTTAATCTTGTTATCGTTATTCTATCATCGGATTGTGCATATAAATTAATATACTCACATATTGTGCGTACACACATACGTATTACAATACGTCATATAAAACATTCATTTATCATTGTTTTGTATTGTTATTAGGCAACTTTTCCGTTACCAACTTTGGTTATTGGCGTCTGAGTCACATGATATCATACAATCGTTTGATGGATTAAATGGATTAAATGAACACCGAACAATAATTGTTATTGTATTCAATTCTTTCGTTTACTTATTACCAAAGAATCAACTCTCTCCTCACGAATTCAATCCAAATATGCCTGATAAATTACTATCTATTTTATCAAAGCAATATAATGATCTCTTTAAATCCGGTGATTTTTTTGACGTGAATATCGAAGTAGGCGAAGGATCAAATACAAAGGAATTTCAAGCTCATTCTCTTGTTTTAAGAATTCGTTCTCCTTATTTTCAAACTGCTTTATCAAATGGTTGGGTGAAAAGCAAGAATGGTGTGATGGTTTTTAAGAAACCTAATATTTCTCCTGACGTTTTTGAGGCTCTTCTCGGGTATGTCAAGAAACAACTCTCAACTTTTTTTATATTATTAAAATATCATTAAAATATTCTAAAATGTTCTAAAAATGTTCTAAATTACCCATTATTATTGTTTTCACAGTTATGTTTATAGTGGAACTATTGATCTTGTAAGAACGGATCCAAGAATTCTCATCGAATTACTTCCAGCGGCTGATGAATTAGCTCTTACTGAATTATGTGACCATCTCGAAGAACATCTTATAGATTATAATGTCAGATCTTCGATAAAACAAAATTTTGTTCTTTCACATCGAATAGCGAATCAACATCGTTTTGAAAAATTCTCTTCTTTATGTGAAAAAATTCTCAGTCTAGATCCCGGCGCATTGTTTAACGCTAACGATTTCGCTGACATAGAACATGATGTTTTATTATCCATTTATCGTGATTGTCATTCTCAATACAGAGAAATAGATTTATGGAATAAGTTATTGGAATGGTCAATTGTAAACACACCTTCATTACCTCACGACATATCGCAATGGACGATCGATGATATATCAACTTTTGGTGCTTTGGCGAAGCCTTTCATTGAATATATAAATCTTATTTTTATAAGCCCTGATGACTTTTTTCATAAAATTAGACCTTTTCGCAGAATTTTTGATGTAGAATATTATATACAAATCTTGGAATATCATAGCTTCGCTCAACTTCGTGAAAATACGCTTCTTAATAGACCTGTTCAACCAAAGTTGGATTCAAAGATAATTTCTATGCAGCATATGGCCATGATTTCTAAATGGATTACTGAATCTAAAGATGTTTCTAACTTAGCTGGCTCGGATTCTACTAATCCTCCATCTTATAAATTTAAATTATTATTACGAGGAAGTCGTGATGGTTTCACTCCAAAAATGTTTCACGCTTATTGTGATCAAAAAGGTCCTACCGTTACCATTATTCATACAACAAAAAAGAAAATTATTGGCGGTTATAATCCTTTAGACTGGCATTCAAGATTTATTAGTCATTCCATGGAAAATTATGAGCGAACTAATGAAAGTTTTATTTTTTCTTTAGACCCAAAACTTACTAATAAATCTATTGTTAGTAAGGTTAAAGATCAAAAATATGCTATTTATCAACGAATTTATGCTGGTCCTTGTTTTGGTAATGGTGGTGATTTAATAATTAAAGAGAAAACTGGGTTTTGTTATAAAAAAAGTTATGAAAACAGTATTATACAGGAAGGTGAAAGTAATGAATTTTTGATTAATGATTATGAGGTTTTTCAGATAATTGAAGATTAAATTGAAGATTAAATCGTATATACTATATAATGTAGAAAAAAAAAAAAATAATAGAAAAAAATACAATGTAATATTAATAATGAACAATGTACGTACGTTATCACCTTTATAGAATTATATAAAAACAAATAAATGTATCTTACAATTTTCATTTATATTTGTTCTCTGAATTCTCTGAGGAATTTACGTATCTTAATGTATCTTAATGTATCTTAAAGATTTAACTACTGTACCTGCTACGGTATTTAATGATCTCAATCTTGGTTTCCCAAAATAACTTGCGTAGTAGTAAATATCCCAAATAATTCAAATTAGTAGTAAATATCCCAAATAATTCAAATTACTAGTCATTATCATTCCAAGTCTAAATATCGAGAGGGTCATTTAACATATGTTAATTAATATTATTGTTGCATCTGGAGTTCTATGTACTTTAGATATCTGAAGTAACACCTTGCTAGAATTAGATGCATGAAGATCTAATTTTAGGAGCTTAATTCTAGTCAGGTGCCACTTTATATCAGAAATTAAATCGATATGTAATCGGTTACCAGATGAACGTTTAATACGTAATCGTAGTTGTATATAAAAGTCAAAATGTTACTAAGTTAGTTGATATTTATGTCTTAAATAAGATTATTTAAAATAATAAACTTTATATATTCTGAAGTTTTATATAATTTGAATTACTTTTTATTAATTCACTTTGATACTTTACGTTGATATAAAAAAATTCAATTTTTTTTTCACTTTATATGTTTCTAAAATCATTGATTAGACAAAGTAATAGTTTGATAACTTTTACATTAGCTATATCAATCAAATCAAATTATTTTATACACGAATGGCCCAACTGGTTTAATGACTCAAATGACCTGGAAAAACTTGAGGTCATTTGAAATTTGATCAATTGATCAGGTCATTCATCATCTTTGCTAAAAACCGATTTAGTCTTATATTATCATAAGGAAATATATGAAGGCCACCAAGAGAAAATTAGACTTCGACTTTCAAGTTTATACCTTAACGAACTCGTCCCTCTTAAAACATATAACCAGTGAATATTAATATCTGTTGCGTTAATTGCTGATTAGATTTTGCAGATTGTGTCGTTAAGTTGTAAACTTGAAAGCCTAATTTCTCTAGCAGCACTTATCTATAACCAATATTAAAAACCTATTTAAACTAGATTACAAACTCGGGTTCACTATATGCAATAATATGCAATAATAGGGATGTATACCTATACAAATAAATGGTACGATAATAAATGGGCTGCCATCAATAAAAATAAGGAAAATTAACATTTTAAAAAAATTCAAAGCCTTAAATTTCACAGCTCATACCTCGATGAAGTTTAAAGTTATCTTAATAAATTTATATTCAAAAGAAAGTTTAAGATCTAAGCTTTCATTTGAATATAAATTTATTAAGATAGCTTTAAAATTCATCGAGATACGTGTATGAGCTGTGAAAGTTAAGGCTTTATTTAATTTTTTTTTAAAATGTCAATTTGCCTTATTTCTATTGACGGCAGCCTAGATTGAATCAAAGTGTCAATACTAAAAATTTCATTTAAATTATATATATAATTTTAAACATTAAACTTTTTATTAGAACGAATCTACAGTGTCTTGTATATAACATTATCTCAAAAACTAGATAATTGGTATGTGCTGCTTTAAGTAATAATGTTCTATATCCCAAGGACTCTTAAAGTGAAAATTTGAAGTTAAAAATTTGATAGGCAAAACGTATAAAAACTTATTAAATTTAACAAATATAATAAACATATGTGTAGTAAGGGTGCAAAAACACTATAGGTGAGCTTATAATAAATGGATCTTTTTTGCAAATTGCAAGCAATCGTGATGTAATGTCAAAAATATAATTCACCCTTCTAGACATCTAGTTATTGCAGTTAGGTTAATTAGATTTGTTAAGAATTCAACAATTTTTTAGTCCAATCCCTG